CTGGGAGCTCAGTCTCACATCACCTTACCTGTAGAGCGCTTTAATACCTGGATGGAAGTTTACTCTGCAAGTTTTGGGGTTGTTTCTGCTAGTCATCTGGAATGATGACAGATCCAGGTCCACTGAAAATTTTAGACCACAGAAACAGTACACATTGAACAGAAACTTATGCCAAGGACAACTTGTCAAACCATTTTTAAGTGAAAACTGGTATTTCTCCCACCAGGGTCAAGCTGGAGAAAGGCAAACTGGTTTGCATGTAGTTCAGTGGTTTTTCTAGTACTTACCTCACACTGGCAGACATCATGCCTGGAGGAAACGGGCTTTGTGAAGATCTCAGCTGAGACCCCTTCCATGATCATCCCATGCCCAACCTCAGACACTCACCTCAGTCTTCATGCCAGAAGCTCATTGTGGCTTGGTGAATACTTTTAGGATGAAAGATGGCATTGTCTCATTGGTCTTCCATGTAAGAAACCTCTATCTATCCACTCCTCCATTTTAACCAATGTAGACTCTTTGCTTTCTATTCAATCACTCATACAATTAGGAAGATTTTCTTTTTACTCCAGTGGATTAATGGTAAAATTAACTCCCACAAGTAGAACAAGTCAGTAGCAGGAAATAAAATTAGCATACAAAAATCAATACCTTTTGTATATAGCATTACTACTTACAAGATACAATGGCAGAGAAAACATCTTACTGGCAACAGTGCTTTGATTGATTAGGTCACATAGTCATTTACTCCTCGTGTCCCTTCCTATAATGCATGTGGTTTTAATCATATGTACACCCAATTATGCAGAGGCATAAGATGGCAAATGCAGGATGGATTTACCCTGAAGTTCTCTTGAAAACTGTTTTGCCTTTAATTAATAGAAAGTCATATCTATTGTGCACTTATGTGCCATGGCATATCTGAATGGGACAGAGGACAGACACATTGCTAGGAGGGCTGGTTCTCTTTCACCATTTGAGTCCCAGGGACAGAACTCAAGTCATCAGGCTTGGTGACAGAATGCCTTTTACCTGCTTAACCATCGTCTCTTTTAAAGTTCTCAGTAGGTCCACATGCACCCAGGCTTAAAAACCCCCACTTCAATGAAAAACAGAATTCAAAGACAGAGGAGGGGATGTACTTCCATGGTCAGGGTTAAGGGGTCCAGGGTTAAGGAAGTGTATTTTGTTTGAAGGGGGGACTTTTAGAGCATATTAGCATATTAAAATGCAAAAATGTCTGCACAAATCATGAGGGCTAGGGGCAACAGACCTGGGAAATACAGGTACTCATGAGAGGAAGTGTAATTGGGAGGGAAGACGCTCTTCTTACTAGGTGAGGGGTAGGAGGGCAAGACTGAGAGGTTAAGGTTAGTAGGGTTTAGAATGGCTGCTTTGCAAAAACCGCTAACAGGAGGGGCACTGGCTGAGATACTGGGCAGTAGCAACTGTTACCATTATTCTAGGGGTGGCATCAGTTTGTAATTAAGTTTAAAAACAAAACAAAAAAAAAACTACCCAGAGGCTATTTTAAAATTATCTTCTTTCATTCTTCAGTTTTAAACGTGGAGATTCTTCAAGTGTCACAACTACCTTTCAGAGATTAGGAAGTGTTTTGAATTGTTAAAGACAAAAATCTTGGTATGTAGCTCAGGTCAGCCTAGAATCCTCCTGTCTTTGCCTTGTGATTCTGGGATCACTGCTATGAACCACCACAAAGATTTTTTTTTTTTTGAGTCAGTGTTTCTCTGTGTAGCCCTGGCTGTCCTAGAACTCACTATGTTGACCAGGTTGGCCCTGAACTCCTAGAGATCCACCTGCTTCTGCCTCGACAACTGGTTCAACACTATCAAAAGACTTTTGCTAGTTAGTAATGCTGACATCTTTGGCAACAGGTGGTTTTAATTGGTCTTTAAGATAGGAAAGAGGCAGTGGTGGCACACGCCTTTAATCCCAGAGCTTGGGAGGCAGAGGCAGGAGAATCTCTTTGAGTTTGAGACTAGCCTGGACTACAGAGCAGTTCCAGGACAGGCTCCAAAGCTACACAGAGAAACCCTGAAAGGAAAGAGAATTTATGCAGTGTTTTAAAAGGCTATAACAACTAAAAGTTAAACCAACCACATACAGAGTCTAGGGAACCAGTGCTAGACAGTTCTCAGAACACCTTCCCAAATACAGTGAACTCCTTTGCCATACATCTTTCTGGAAGGGAGAACTTGGGTTTGTGATCTTTGGCAGTAAGTCAGGACCCATCTTAATTATTATGAGTAAAATCAAGAACAATGTTCATATATTTTGAAAGCTTCAAATGAGCTTATCATATTCTGAAGTGCTGAAGCTATAAGTCAGACATAACTCAGTGTGGTATTACTGTTGGATCCCAAGCCTTCACAACCAATTAACTGGGTATAAAGCAGACACGAGAACGTGAGTGGACTGCAACCTGGCAGATGCTTATATGCCTGCTATGTACCTAACGTATTTGTTCTAGCTTTTTCATTTGTCCTGAACTATATATTAAAATGTACATGGTTATGCTAGAAAAGTGTGTGAGGCTTTGTCTTGAAACTGACAACATAAAACTCACAGGGGGATGTATCTTATATAACATTTTGTACTGATAATTGTGAAAAGTGACTAATTCTTGTTATATTTGAACTATGTCAAGTCACTCTGATCCTCTACCTACAGCCATGAGGACAGTTTCACCCTTTCCCAGGAATTTGGGAGGGAAAACCATGGGGAACAAAAACATTTTAAAAAAGAGTTTATGCAAGAAGTCATACACAAAATCTGTCTTTGCCAAGGAGACAGTCTCCTTAACTGGCAAGGCCTTGTGCTGCCAAGGCTTAAGTCTGCACTGGACCCCCTGTAGGGTTCGTTAGCTTGCTGGACCTCAGACTCAGGCACTGACTCAGAACTGCTCTGAGCAGCCCCTTTCCCTTTGCCAGAGACTATGCCGCACTGTGAACATCTTCAGCATCTCATCACTGCCAGTCTAAGGACCAGTCTGAGGCTCTGCTCGGAGCACCCCTTTCCTTCCCTCTGCCCAAGACGACTCCCCTTTGTATCTTCAGCATCAGCTTCATCCTCATATCATACTGGAAAACTATAGTTCCAAATCTGCTAATTTATCAAGAGACCTCCCCACTTCCAGGAATATATTATGCTGCCCAAATTTGCATCACTACACTCCATTTTAAAAACTGTACAGTCCACACTCTTTAGCGTCACTGTTCCTTTTCTTCCACATTGCCATTTCCAGGCATGGGTCTTCCTCTTTCTGAGATCATAACACAGGAGTGAACACCCTAGCCATTTGTGTTCAGTGCCTGTAGTAGAAATGACCAGTTACGCTCCATAACTTTGCTTCTCTTTCTGATGGTGTAGGGATACATCCTTACTGTTGCTAGAAGCTGTTAACTCTGCTAACCACAGCAAGGGGAAATAAGGGCATAGTGATCAGCAAAACTAGCTTTAGCAAAGGAAGAGGCCACAAGGGTGACAGGCTTCCACTTCCCCATTGTCTGCTGTGCCCCCAACAAGACAGCCAGCCACTCTGCTCTCAGTTCAAACACGGGTCCTATGACACCGAATACAGCTTTCTGCTGCTGAGGTGTATCCAAGCCATTTTGCCCAGGAAGGGGAGAGATAAAAACACTTCGCTCACAATCACAGCAATGATGCCAAAATAGAGTAAAGACCTTAAATGAACCATGCATCCCCATAACCCTTTACCTAGAGCCGAAGAACCAACTGCACCAGACACGGTCATGGGGACCTGGGAGCTCTTCCTAGCACCTACAACTCTCAATTCACAGAACTTCCTAGACCATGGAAGGAAACTGTAGGTAGATGGACAGATATGTAGATATAGACAGAAGATAGACTGACGAACGATAGATGACAGATATGACCGAAGATAGACAGATGATAGCCAAATAGGTAGATAGCTAGATCTAGAATGCTTAGTGTCTCCCATCCCCAAATGCCAAGTTAAATCAATCTTTTTAGGACTGATAATTAAATTACTCGCTATACACATTGAATTTACTTGGCACCACAGATTGAGATGCTTTATTTACTTTGGGTCATCTGCTGTGACAACTGCCTTGTTTAAGAGCCAACATCATCTAAAATCTCTCATTGCAACTGATTTCTAAAGAATTCATGGCCCCGGGCCGGGCGTTGGTGGCGCACGCCTTTAATCCCAGCACTCGGGAGGCAGAGGCAGGCGGATCTCTGTGAGTTCGAGGCCAGCCTGGTCTACAAAGTGAGTTCCAGGACAGCCTCCAAAGCCATAGAGAAACCCTGTCTCGAAAAACCAAAAAAAAAAAAAAAAAAAAAAAAGAATTCATGGCCCAACCACAGGCCACTCAGGAAAACTATATTCTGCCCCTCCAAATGCAGCACCACATAAACAACACTGAATTCCTCTTCTCATCCATTCTGACCCAAAAGCTACCCAGGGGTTTGATACAAATGAAGCTCCTCCTTTAAATGCACACCTGAAAGATAATCTCAAATCTCCTTATACTCCTCAGCAAAGCTAACAACTTGTGAATGGATGTCATGCAAGCAGGTGATATGACTTTTGTCCATTATAGAAAAAATACAACAGTGAAATAAACAGAAACATCTGTGTAGTCCATAAGGATATTATCAGAACCTCGAAGTCAGAACTGTGGCACTTGGCTTCATTAACTCCTGATATCCAATGCATGAGTGCAATCAATGGTCATCTTTAAGGTCTGTCTGGTAATCTTCAACACTAACAACAAAAACCATCTCTCTCCTTGAAGAGCAGATCTTAATTTATAACATTATCCACTGTGTCATAAAAATTTTAAATGTAAGGTTTAAAATACAGCTGATACTAAAGTTAGCCCCTATAACTGGTTGACGGAGAAATAGAATAAATGACTTCCCTAAGGATGCATTCACACCTTAAAATGACATAATTTACAACCCTGTACTAGAAAGTATTTGTGCACTTAATATTGTATTTTCTCAGGTGAATAACTTTATTCCCATTCATTATAAGAAGATACTACAGTTTTGGGTGATCCCTGTCAAAAGTGCTCAGAAATGTGGTAAAAATGCATGACCAAGAAAGATGATAAACATTCATGAAAAAGCTTCATACACATTGGCCTCAGATTGACTAGGGACACCAACAAGAAACAACAGATTATATAACCCATGGCAGAATAGCTTGGAAGTCTATAGTTTGTTTAGGCTGACTCACATGCCTGAGTACAGTATGCAAGTCTGCCTTCACCTCTGAAAATTGGCATGGCTTCAGAGAGATATTTAGAGTGTAATAAATATGTATATATAAACTACTTTAAATCCCAGGTAGAAAGAGGACAACCTGGCAATGTACACAAAGGAGAGCTACAGGAATACCTTTGCACCTAACTGTGGAGGTCTCTCAAGCCATCATCAGGACCAGCGTCTTCATGAACCAGTTTGGAAACATTGTAAGTGTCATCAGTAGATCTCTCCCTAAACCCAACCCAGACTGTTAGAAATGTGTTCCATAGGCCACTGCAGGATCTAGGTGAGAATGCAAGGCACAGCCCACTTTCATCACTGAGCCATTAAGCAGTGGCACATTCCCTACCTTCTGTGGAGGCAGCTGTGACACCCTACAGAAAAGTCCTTCCTTGTAAGAACAGGGTGACTCGGGGCTGGAGGCTTTGGTGCTGCCCTCCCATTACATGAGCTCAATCTGCACCTCCTTCCACCATTCCCTTATGGTCAGCTGGCACATTCTCAGTTTATGTTCCTTTCCAAACAGGCTCACACCCTGCCCACCTCAAATTAATCACACTGTGTGCGAGGGACAATTACACTTTGGGAAAAGGAAGCACTAGACCACCTGGCACCTGTCTAAGGGAGAAGTGCTCTGTCCCATGTGATCAAAGCAGTGAGCATTTCACACACAGCCCCTGTGTATTTCAGAGTGAAAGCACTCGGCTGACACAATGTAAGAGCACCCTGTCAAGCAGGCCTCTGAACGGCAGGTGCTCTTGACACTTTTGGGAAATGAAGCTTTCCCCAGCAGTTCTAGGTAGCCACATATTCCTCACTTTGACAAAGTAGCATCCGACTTCAGGCACAACCACATATACAACTCTACATGCAGCTGAGCAGTCATAATCATGCCACATAAAGGCATGTCAAAAAGACATGTTTCCTTCCCAAAGCATGGCCCCAAGCAGCCATTATCGTAACAGATAACAGCATGAGTTCCTGTTCATCACTGGCTACTGATCTATAGAATACTAACAGTGAAGTCCCAGTCAGGATACAAGCCTTAGACCAGGATCAGAAATGCTAACCAAGCACTATCCACCTAAACCACCACCTGCATTTGAGTGCACCAGCCTCTGTACTTAGACACGCCCTGTCAGCAGACACAGATCATGAGGATAAAGTCAAGTACAATGCGGCTGCTGGTGATCCCCCTCAGTCCAAGTGCAAGAAGCCCTCACCCATCCTGCTGGAGTCTCTTCTGAGGCCCCAAACTGAGAACTTGTTTGGTGTATCTTATTGGCACAGAGTGAATAAAGGCTTGATGGCAAGCCGTACTGCATAGACACAATTCATCCAGGAATGTGTTTGGAATTGGCTGTGAATTTGGGCTTCATCGGTGATATTAAAAGCTCTACACAGAAGGTATGCAAAAGCTGTTACTAGTTTTCCAGGAACAAAGACACAGTTGCCAAGGAGCAACAGCTCTAGGAAGACAGCTGGAGGTAAACAGTCGGTTAACAACAAAGTAAGGAACACAGCAGAAGATGCCCTACCCCCTTTAAAGAAAACTGCTGCCCTGATACTTCACAAAAAAAGATTCCCCAAATAACATTTTCCAAAAGAAAGAACCACTCCTGCATGTGAAGAGGAGTTGATCCTGGTGGTATGAGGATCAGGAATGCCAATTAGGACACCAGGACTGTACAATACAGTTTCAACACCCATCAGCTACTGGGCTCTAGCTGCATCCAGAACTCTTTTCATGTGGCATTTTGAAAAACATGGCAGGAGCGGAGGCAGTGGCTTTCTCTGCTGCAGAGGTCCTGTCCAGCCACTCGGAGTGGGGAGGCTTCTGGGCTGGGGTGGCCGGCTCCAGCACATCTGGGTACACTGTGTTTCACAACAGAAGTAAGAAGGGGAGATGAGTTAGTGTAAGAAGTTATGATAAGAGGCACTTAGAAATACATTTCTTAATCTTTATATTTCATGCCCAATTCACCTACGGGGCTTCATAAAATTTACTATTTTCTTCATTAAAAAAAAGGTGAAATTTACAAACCATTTCTCCAGGAATAAATGCAGTAGAACAGATAGATACAGGAAAAACTAAAACTTTACTCGTTGGCTAGGCACTATGCAGCTAAATATCAAATACTAAGGATCCCCCCCCCCATTTCCTTTTTAAAAATAAGGTTTTACAAGGTAGCCCAAGCTGGCTTCAAACTCATGGTTTTCTTGCCTTAGCCCCTGAGTGCTGGAATTACAGGTATGTGCCATTATACCTGCATGATCATACTTCTTAATGACAACTCATCCCCATTTTATGGATCAGGAAACTAAACTTCAGAGATCAAAAATAGCAATTCAAGCTCAAATCCTGGGCTCCACATGACCCTCAATATGGTGGTGTCATGAGTAAATACAACAAGGAAAACAAGATGAACAGCACCAGGTGCGGTATTTTAATGAAGCGTCTTAAGACTCTGTGGACCGGATAGGCAGTGAGTGCAGAGCTGTGCTATGTCCTTCTGGATCCTGGCCTATAGCATCCTACCATGGGGCCATCAAACACTTCCTTCACCTTCCCAAATGCCCCTTACCACCATTCCCACTGCCAAGAATGAAAATATACTGCGATATAGTAAAATACAGCACAGTTTAAATTTTTCTTTTGCATCCAGTAATTCTACCCAATAATATAGTCTTGGTATTTTTCCAGCAGTAACTAGGCCACAAAAACAAATTCAGCAGGCTCACCAGTGAAGAGCACTGGTTGCTTTTGCAGTCCCCATGTGTAAGTACACGACCTTAAGTAACTCCAGTTCAGTTATCCAGCACCTTCTAACTCCTGTGGGCACTACATGCACACAGTATATAGACACATGTGCAAACAAAACAGCTATATGCATAAAATGATAATAACTTTAAATTTTTTGAAATTTCCGCTTTCAGTTCTTTAGGTGATATAACCAGGAGCAGAGTTGGCAGATCTAATGGCCTTTTAATGATAGCTGTCTTGAGAAACTGCCATGTTTTTCTATAGGATGTACAACTTTACATTCCACCAGAAACATTCAAGGGCTCCAATCACGTCTCTGCCAAGGTTTAGTATTGTCTGGTCTCTGAGACCACCACTGAATGAGCGGGAAGTAACACAAGAATGTCTGCGCCACCCTCTCCCAGAACAGTGCTTTTCACATGGAGTAAAGCAGGGTACAATCGAGTGCAATCAAGATCACTGAGCTGTGGCACAGGCCTCCTCATACAATGGATAGTGTGTGTGGCAGTCAGAAACAAGGGGATTGTGCACAACAAAACATGCATGAATCTCAGGAATAGAACTGGGTAAAACTTGTAAATTATGAATTCTTTTGTGCAAGGTTAAAACTACTTTAAAAAACAAAAGTGATGATTAAAACAAAACAAAAAAGTAGGAAAACTAACACACTGCAGAGAGGGAGAAGATTTTTCTTGTTAGCTCATTGTTTTTCTTTACACTTACTGTATCTACTATCAATATTCTTTTCTAGCAACTAGCTCTTTTCCTAGGGGTTAGAATAATATGGAGAACACTGTTTTGACTTTAAGATAATATTAACTTAGATATACTGGAGCTAGGCACCCATGGTCAGTTCTCTCATAGTCTGACTAGTTAGCTGTGGGTGAGAGTCCCACTGTGGGTAGACGGGGAAGTAGCAGGAATGCATACATTACAGTAGGTTCCTTCAGGTAGCATGACCTCACCACCATGTGTGGCTGTCCAGGTTTAGGGTACCAGGCACCAATCCCCTCCTATTGACCAGGCCTTAAGACCAATCAGACAGTTGTTGGTTATTCCCAAGATATGAGCAACACTACTGCACTGTTTGTGATATCTTGTGGTGGTCATTGTGTACAACACAACTCCTACATCTAAGGCTTAGAGACTATCAAGAAGGCACAGGTGTGGAGGACCAGGACATCTGTTGTGAGATTATGTCTTCTATATAAGAGAAGGAAGCTACATTCATAAAATGTCAACAATATGGCTGCCTAAGTAATACCTGAACAATGACTGCACCAACTGACATGACAATATGGACAGGAGAAGTCAGACAAAGGCTCCACCCCTAGATGAAGAACTACAGAAAAGTAATGACCGCTGAGAGAGGGAAAATCGGTTTCCCCTAGGGATGAAACCCTTAAGTGATTATCAAATACCAAGTGATCAGTCCTAAAAACTCTACATATGAACAACTCCAAATAGACTCAATAGGTTATATGATTTATATGTATCATATGCATGTCGCAATAATAACTAAGAAAACAATACCATATAAAAAGAAAGGGAGTGCTTAGAGGTAAAGGAGGGGAACAGTGGGAGGGGAGAGTAGTATATGATAATAGATTGAAGATGATCAAAGTATATTATCCATATGTATGGGGTGTCATGGTGACAACCATTAGTTTCATAAATGCTAATAAAAATGAAAAAAGTGAGTCTGTTCTAGTGTTAGGTGGTCTTTTTAGATACTAGAGATAGCAGTGAACAAACAGATTAAAATTCCCATCCTACTGAACACATGGCTGGCTTGGTGGCTCAGAGTAACTAATTAACAGATCATCTGTGATATAGCTTCTGAATGATAGGCATAACCCCAGGGGATGCAAGGTTGGGAAAAGGCTTTAGGAATAGCCCAAACTATCCAGGCTCTGAACAGAACAGAATCTCCAGTGGCCCCAGTTCAGTTCCCCTATTCTAAAGCCCAGGGTTCACCTTCAGGATGAGGAGTTTGAATGTCAAGAGCTGTGATGAAGACACTGGTTCAAGGACACTGGTTCATTGTTAAGCCTGAGTGCCTTACATTTCTTAGAGCCACTCTCAAGTTTCAAAGGAAGCAGTCATTTTACCCGCACCGTCAAGAGCCAAGTACAGCCAGATCACTTCAGCAAGTGGCATAGGCTTGCTGGCAAATCCCTGTCCTGGCATACCAGTCTTGGAAAAGGTCTGCACACTCACTCCCTAGGATCCAGGGAACAGCACTGTGCACTAAACCTCTGCATGCTGTAAAGCCAGGGAAGGAAGGGGAGCGGAGAAACAAGAAAGGGTCCTTTCCCAGCCCTCTGCACTGCTCAAACAAACAAACAAAACAAGGAGACTTCTGTGTCTCTTCCTTTCTTCACCCCTCTAGCCTTACTAACATCTTTAAATTCAGTCAATTTCAACTCAAACTTTGTGCCGGTGGGGGAAGGGCAGAGATTTGTGGCTGCATGCTTAAGAAAGAAGCTGAATTCATCACAGTGACAGGGAGAGTGTTGGCAGAGATCTGAGCTATTTATTCTTTTAGGAAAATCCTATAAAGAATGACACAAGGAAGCCTCTGTCTGCAGTCTTGTTCATCACGCTGGTGAAGAGCTGATAACAGATGTATGCGGTTGTGTGATTTAGTGCCAGGAGCTGGCCCCTGATGTGTATTAATACAGCGGCAAAGCGGGACGCGCCTCTCTTCATCACTCATTTCTATAAAAGAGGTGGAATCGGAGATGGCCCGATGGTAGGCAGAGCAAGCCCATTTGTTCTCCTGACTGATGGCGCAGGCTCAGGCTGTGTCCTTCACCTCCATGGGGCACTCAGGTTGTGAGTAGAAAAAAAGGAAGTGCTCAGCGAAGCCGGGTTTAGTCAACAAGTGAGGAGTGGAGGGAAACACTTACAGCTAATGTCTTCTTCAATACACTAAATATATTTCCTGCTTTGAATGAGGAATCACCTCTTCCCAATGGTTCTGTTCTCATAACCATTGGGAAGCTGGGGCTGTAGCTCAACAGCAGAGCATTTGTCTATAGACGTGAGGGCCTAGGTTTGATCCCCAGAACTGGGGGAAAATTTAAGAGCAAAAAACAGGACAAAGAAGGGAAAAAAAAAAAAGAAATAAAAGCTAAGAGGAAAGATTTTGTTTTAAACTTTAAATAGCCCAGATTGGCTGAGGAGCTAAGTTTCGCAGTCTGGAATATTCAATCCTACTGTACATACAAAGGGCACCTGGGAGTTTAAAGGGCAGGTCCAGAGCATCAGGGAAACACCTCACCTGACCCTGTATCTCACTAACCCTGACTTCAGAAGGTGACTGACACCTCAGTTTGCTCGTGTATCAGCGGGATAGAACTGCGTCTACCCAGGAAAGCTGAGGCAGAGGTTAAATGAACTACTGTACACAAAGTGCCTAGCTCAGTGCCTGTGCAGATGGAAACAACTACGAAATTCACAATAATCATTAGGCCTGTGATTAAGATTGTTTAGGATGAGCCCCCAATTAGCAGTCATTACAGACAGAAGAAGCCCAAAGGGGTATTTCAGAGTAGTCAAAAAGTCACTCTTTACTCAGCTAACAACTGACCTGACATATGTAATATGTAAAACAGGATAAGTAAGCTTTATCCAAGGTCCAGAAGTGCTTTGGGTCTAGATCTGTTGGTTTCACAAATATCATATACTCAAAGCTGAAAGGTCATGCATATGCTATTTTTCTGTGTTTGCTTCTGATTGCAACTCATCATACAAAGTCAGACAGAGAATTCTACTTACAAGTGAATGTCAGTGCTCAAAAGTGTCATATTTCAAACTGCTTCAGATTTGGGATTTTTAAATTAGGGGTGTTTAATCTATAGTTTATCTATATAGTATCTATATAGTTTATCTATATAGTAATCTATAGTTTACAATAGGCTTGATATATAATATCTTTGATAACATGTAATAAAATACATGTAACTTCAGTGTACAGCTTGAAGACTTTTATATACATAAACACCCATGTCACCCTACCTGGTTTGTAATGTACAGCATTTCCAGAGCCTCTGATCGTTCTGCATCTTCTCTTGGTCACTCTCCAAAGATAGCCACTATCTTAGCTTCTACTAACTGGCATACATTTTATATAGGAACTAAAAGGGTTTTTAATTAGACATCTCATGATGAGTAAAAATGGACATACTATTATAACCAGTGAGAATACACTGTGCTGTATAAAACAATTAAGAAAGTAAACAGAGTCAGGTGTACATGCCTTTAATCCCAGCACTTGGGAGCCAGAGGTAGATGGATTTCTGTGTTGACAGTGTGCCTGGTCTATAGTCTATATAATGAGTTGCAGAACAGCCGGAGCTATATAGTGAGACTCTATGTCAAAATAACCAAGGGAGGAAGAGAGGGAGGGAAGAAGGGAGGGAGGGAAAGAGAGAGTAAGCAGGGGCTGGAGAGATGGGTCAGTGTTTAAGAGGACTGGCTACTCTTCCAGACGACTCAGGTTCTATTTCCAGCACCCACATGATGATTAAAATCATTAATAACTATAGTCTTAGAAAATTCAATACCATTTTCTGACCTCCATTGGCACCAGGTACACACACATATGGATATATATGTAGGCAAAACACTCATATATGTAAAGTAAAATAAAAATTATTATTTTATTTTATTAATTACCTCCTTTGATTTTCAAGACAGGGTTTCTGTGTAGCTCTGGCTGGTCTAGAACTCACAGAGACCCACCTGGCTGTGCCTCCTAAGTGCTGGAATTAAAGTTGTGTGCCACTACTGCCTGGCTATAGAAATTATTTTTTAAAGCAGAAAGTAAATGAGCCCAGGTAACCATTGACTACTGATCAAGCTGTTATCCAGCTGGAGGTATATCAGCATGGACCTCTCAGCCTGTCATCTGTGCTACAGCAAAGGTCCAAATGACTGGGACCAACTGACAAAGGAATACAAAAGCCAAGTGACAGAATGAAAAAGCAGACTCCACCGTAAGAGAGAACTGGGAAAAGTACTTCTCAGCATCTCAATTTTCTTATATCAAATAGGAATAAAGATTCCTTACCACAAAAACTCCATGGGAAGGTATATAAAACACATCACCTAGTATTTAGTACACAACAGGTGCTCTACGAATGACAACTGCATATAATCACCTGTACTAGAGCTAGATACAGATGCTGAGGCCACAGGTTTCCGCTTCCTCTTAATGTCACGTGAACATGGCGGTCCCCAGTGTACCTTTGCCTGCCTGCAGAAATGAAAGGAGAAAGAAGATGTTTACATTGTGGTACTTGTTGTAAGGTACTGTACTGTCCAGATGAAATCTTTGACCCATTATAGATAAATGCTAACAAAACAGGCATCATCTTTGGCCACTAATCATTGCAGCCTCTGGACATACTCAGAATTATGCATAACCCACAATACATGGCACTCTGTACTTTTTAACCAGATTTCAGGGCAACAGACATTCAAATAAACATGTGCTTCAATATGTGATCTTTATACAATGCTTTCACATGAAAACTCTAACTGCAATTGACCTAAATTCTCTAATGAAATACCTAGTCCCATAGGATAATGCATCAAAAGGGTTAATGCCCTGTGAACAGGGTCATTTACATAGAATTATAGTACGCTTAACTCTGCTGCCACTGGATAATCTGTTTTTTTTTTAATTTTTATTTTATATGTACAAGTGTTTTGTATGAAAGTGTAAGTGTGTGTGCTGGAGAAGGGATTCAGATCCCTGAACTGGAGTCACAGACAGACAATTGTGAGCCACTCTGTGGGTACTGGGGATCAACTGAAGCAAGGTTCTCTTCAAGAACACCAAGTGTTCTTTACCTTTGAGCCACTCTCTAGCCCTGATAATCTGGATTTTTATATGTGTTTATATCACAAGTTAAATATTTGGTTTCTGTGACTTTCAAGACTATAAATTATGTCAATTAACATGTTCCATTGTTAGGATATTCAGCTTATTTCACAAATAATACATCTAAATACTCTAACCTAGAAAAACACGATTCTCTGGAAAACGACAGACTTTAACACTGAAGTAGCTGGCATAGTATCATAGTTTCCCATTCCCTGACTTCATCCTTTTCTGCAGTCTGGACAGACTGCCCTGATAAAGCTGAGTGTCACTTTTACACAAAGCTTTCCTTGAACACTGCAGGGCTTACGTGCCACGAATCATTATCTGGCTGGTGAACATACATCATGCTTCTCTAATGAGGCTTAATCCCCTTGAGATTAGGAACAGGGGTCCTGAGAGCAGTGGCCATATTTACACATCTTTCATAATTATCCAATGATCTATCAACCTTAGCACAAGAAAGAGATGATCCTCACTAAGTATATGGTAGCCAGAACTCAGAGGAATAAGAATTTTAAAAATCAACTGGTAGAATGAGTAAACCCTGAAAAGTAGCTAAAAATAGTAAATTCTTTTTTTTTTTTTGGTTTTTACGAGACAGGGTTTCTCTGTATTGTTTTGGAGGCTATCGGTCCAGCCCAGCCTCGAACTCACAGAGATCCGCCTGCCTCTGCCTCCCGAGTGCTGGGATTAAAGGCGTGCGCCACCACCGCCCCGGCTCAAATAGTAAATTCTTTGTTATTTATATTTTGTCACAATTAAAAAAACAAACAGCTATAGCCCATTTAAAAAAAAAGAAGCAGCAGCAGCGGTGGCGGCCTAGTGTGTGGAGCTGGAGAGGGGGACCAGGAGTTAAGAGCACTTGCTGTTCTTGCAAAGAATCACAGCTCCATTCCCACACCTACATCAGGTGGCTCACACCTGCTGTATTTCCACTTCCAGGGAGTCGAGTGCCCCTTGTGACCTCCACGAACGCCCACATGTATCTGTGTACATGCGCCTGCACACGCGCCTGGTGTGAGAGAGCACCAAAGGCACACAGCTGGATAGATGGACAAACACTTTGATGCCAAGACTAGGCAGAAAAGGAAGTGGCACTGCAGTACTGTGTTCCTGATTCAGAGACATGCACAGACAGACTAGAACAGAGCCCTGATCACACACTTTCTCCTAACTCAGACATGCTCTGCCACAGGGACTTCAGGTTCACACTGGCCATTTTTTCTCTTCACTGTAAGCTTATTTAAAAACAAACAGGATAGTACACATAAGTGACCCCAAAAATTCTATGAGGGATCTTCTACAGCTGATAAACACCTTTAGCGAAGTGGCTGGATACAAAATAAACTCAAAAGAAATTCAGTAGCCTTCCTACATTCAAATGATAAATGGGCTGAAAAAGAAATTAGGGAAACAATATTCTTCACAATAGACACAAATAATATGAAATACCTTGGTGTAACTCAAACCAAGCAAGTGAAAGACATGTTTGGTAAAAATTTCAAGTCTTGGAAGAAAGTATCAGAAGATGAAAGTATTTTCCATGCTCATGAATTGGTAGTAAAAAAATGGCCATCCTACCAAAGCAATCTAGATTCAATTCCAACACAATTTTTTACAGAACTTGAAGAACAATACTCAACTTCATATGGAAAAACAAAACAAAACAGTATAGCTAAAACAATCCTGAAAAATAGAAGAACTTCTGGAGGTATCACCATCCCTGATTTCAAGCTGTAGTACAGAGCAATAGTAATAAAATCTGGATAGTATTGGCATAAAAACAAACAAGTTGACTAAATGGAACTGAATCGAAGACTCAGACATACATAAATCCCCATAACTATGAATGCCTGATTTTTGATAAAGAAACCACAAATATATAATGGAAAAAAGTATCTTCAACAAATGGTGCTGGTATGACTGAATGTCAGCATGTAGAAGAATGCAAATAGATCCATATCTATCACCCTGCACAAAACTCAAGTCCAAGTGGATCAAAGACCTCAACATAAAGCCAGATACACTGAACCTAATAGAAGAAAAAAATAGGGAATAGCCTTGAATGCATTGGCACAGGAAAAAACTCTCTAAACAGAACACCAACAGTGCAGGCACTAAGATCAACAATTAATAAAAGGGACCCACATGTGCTGGGGAAAGGTTCATCCCAGCTACTCAGGAACAAGAGAGGCTATTCAGAAGTTAGGTCTGTGTGTCCACCAGGTTAAAACATCACTCTTGACTGGTATGTCACATGGTTACCGGAATCATGTATGGAGTTTTCACAAAATACTCATGTCCAGCTCTTTATTTAGTATACAGAATCAGTAAAAGTCTTATTTTGAAATGTGCTCCTAGATAATTCTGTACTACCTGGGATACTCTAGTCAGTAACAGAGGTTTAAATACTTAGGCTAAATGCTAATTAAACATAGTTCCCAGTATAGGAGCCAAGAATCCAAAGAGAGAGACTGACTCTCCTCTTGCTTCATCTGGCTGGGTCACAGGACTATCTGACCACAGACCAGTGAGTACTTATGGTAGGCAATTTCACAGTATGAAATGTTGGAACCTGTATTTCTCCTACTGATGTCATAGTCTCCTACTGTGAATTGGGCAGCATTTGCCAAAGACTGGAGGTTAGGAGATGGGGATATGGCTCAGCTGGTAAAGTGCATGCTACATATTAATGAAGACATGAATTTGGATCCCCAACACTCACAGAAAGACCAGGCACAACAGTATGCACTAAATAAGTACTAGGGAGGTAGAGACAAGTGAATTCCTAGAGTTCATTGGAGGGTCGGTGAGACAGCTTAATGGGTAAAGGTGCTTGCTGCCAAGCCTTATGACCTGGATTTGATCCCCAGGACCCACATGTTACAAAGAAAGAACCAACTCCCACAATTGCCCTGACTTCAACATGAGTGCTGTGTGGCACAGGTGCCCCCCCAACAAATAAATGCAAAAACTAAAAATAAAAAAATAAGGTGGAGAGCAGCTGAGGAAGACACCGACAATGATTTCTGGATTTAATGTTCAAACAGGTAACTACACACCCATGCACAAACAACACGTACACACACACACACACACACACTCAAAGATGAGAAGGAGTAGGGAAGGGGAAGGGAAGAGGAATAATTATTAATGAATAATAGACTTTAAAATTATATTCCTTTATAAGCATCTAGTAAGTTCTTCTCCTGTGAAGGTGAATGGTGAAGATTAACAATTAATGGAAAGAGAATTCTTTATATCCTCATGTAAACACAACGTTTCTACTTTATTTTTCTTGCAGAGAATGAAGGATCAGGTGAGCTGCCCAAATTGCAGTGTTACTTAGGAAACTGGGCAGATTACTATGGCCCAGGGGCAGGAATGTACTTTTAGGGGGAAAAATACTTTGAGAGAAATACATGCATGTTTAATAGAACCAGGGCTGGCAAAAATAATAACTCAAGTGACTGCTTCTGGTTTAGAACAAAGATACTGAAAGTCACTTGGAGGGAGCAAAAGCAGTCTTTGTCTGCCAATGGCAAGCTAATGTAAGAAATAGTTCACCTTCAAAACTACTTGTTTTTAAAAGCTATGAATGAGTTCGTTTTTGGTGTTTGAAACAACAACAACAAAAAAGAGGTATTTATTTGCTATATTTTCTCCTTATGTAACACTTGAGGGAAAAATGGATGTTAGTAAGGACCAAAGGTCATATATATAACATACAGTCTAATTATTTTCCTTAATTACAAATCTATTCATCCCATTTTTTTCAACAAAAATTCATGAAGGTTTGCCCTGCATAAAACCCTATGCTTGAGACACATAGGGTAGGTCCATGGTGACTGTCCCATGAGTCTGTCCCCAGCAGTTTCACAGTTTGGTGGGAAGCCCGATCCATAAACAGAGAATGAATACTTTGAGATAATGCATCATAATCAAGGAACAAGTCAAGCACTGGGTAAAAGAGGGAGAAGAGGATTAGATGTACAGACGCAGAAAGAACCCTGCCTCACCTGTGATCATCTCTTCAGGGTCCTGGCGTTTATTAAACACCCAGTGGAGGAAAGATCTTCCTTCACCGACCTGCACAGGTCTGAGACAAGAAGAGGAGAAACCCACTTCACAATTATACAAGGGACAAGCTCTCAACTAGAAAGAAAAGACTAACAACTTCTTGAGTGCCTCCCCCTTTAAACCTAACCCTTAGCAGCCTGTGGCAAAGGGCTCACAGCATTTAAAACTTCCTTTAAATTCTTCCCTTGGTGTGGTCAAGGCAGGATGTCACCCTCAGGAGCAGAATTGCTTGCCATCCATTGGTTAAGATGTGTATTACAATGGAAGGACAGACAGAAAGTGCTTTCATCACTCCACACAGGCAATAAGATGCAGCCATTCATGAGTCTTCAAGAGAAGCAGAAGATTCAAGAACTGTGTGCTATACAGCAAGAGGTTTTAACAGGCCTGGACAGCCTATAGATATATATATGGAGGCATTACAGCAAAACCCTTCCTCGCACAGGGCTGAAACCAAGGCACTAAAGAGTTGAGTGGGGGCTGCTATGTGTCACAGCAGCCCAGACAGACAGAGGACTAATAAAAGGTTCCTTCCCCCAAGCCCTGGGGTAAAACCTGAGGCTGTTTATTATGGTTCCAAAGGTCAAAATTAATAGCATGAATTGAGTCTTCTTCTTGCTCTTTGAAACTCCTTGTCAAGTGGCACAGCCAGCTGGGCACACAACTCTGATATGCAGATTGTAATGCTTGTGAACAGATAAAATGAATTACAATGAGCTGGGCCAATCATATTTCAACTCTCTAATGGGCAGGAAGGTCTCTCTCTTTCTACCCAAGCACTATCCAAATGCTTCTTCTTAGAGTCAACTGATGCCATTTAAGGCCCTCAAGAATCTGGACAGCGTCTCATTAGCAAATAAGTCTGGAGTCTGCTCAAAGGTCTGACTGTAAGGACAGGATAGGGAAGCAACCAAAAATAATGCTGGTTGCCAGACTGCTGAATATTTACATACATTATTTCATTTCAATCCCTGCTAATTCAGTAAGAAAAGTTTTCCATTTTTAACATGTGGAAATGGAGGAACAAGGAGATTAAGTTTTTGTCCAGGTAAACCCAAGATTCTGACTGGAGTCTACCGTACTTTAATTCCCATGCCTTTAATGTTGGTTCTCCCCAACATCACATGAGCAATCCAGGATTACATGCTTTGGGATCTGCCATCCTTTCTCAGCTGAAAATAAGATTTCACAAATGAAAAGCTTATTTATAAAGAAGCTGGTCTATTTAGGAGTGAGGGGAAAGATACTAGAACAGTGTTTTCCTATTTCAGAACTTAGAGAATAACTGGAAATAGATGCATTTCCAAATCTTGAGGACCAACACAGGGATTGGAGAAACTAAAAACTGCCTTAAAGCACTCAAATATGTCAGCCAGCAACATGTGTGGGATGTAGCAACTGGTAGTCTCTACTTGTCTTCTGAAGGTAATATGCTAAGGATAAGATTGTTCACAGTCAATCTCATTTTGGGGAAAATTGCCTATAGCTCTGTCTCATTGTGAATTTGTCTACAATACAACTGCCTCTACCAGAACACCAACCACTCCATCTGCTGTTTGTGTAGCAGCAACTCTTAGCACTGCACATTACTACTTAAACAGCAAATACCATGCTGGCATTCTAGCAATCAAAACTAAACAGAAAACAGCTATATGGATTGTACTCTGACATCAGTCAAATGTCCCTGCACTGCTCCACACCAATGAAACTCTGCCCGTCCTCATTCATCACCTATTTGCTGCACACCATGCTAGATAACAACTCTTCTTCATCTGGAACAGCTTCTCTGGAGCTAAAGGAATCCTAGTGGTTTGTCTCCATGAAGAATAATGCTCACAACACCAAAGCATGGAACCTGTATCCATTGCACCATGGGTGCCCTGTTAAGGGCCAGTCATGAAACCAACAGGACTCAGGGCAACAGTTCTTAACCCCGGTTGCCTAGCAGTCACCTCAGAAGCACTAAGACCAGGTCAATGCTTGGGCCTTTCCCCATACCAACAACATTTGATTTGCAAAGGTCAGGCTCATCATGGATGGTCATTGCTGTTTTTAATTTGAGTGTATGTGTGTTCACATATGTGCTTTTGTGTGTACATTTGTTTCAGGTACACATATATGAGTATGAAGACTGGATGTTAGCATTGGGCACCTTCTTTGATTTTTTTCCAACTTTTGAGATAGAGTTTGGGGTTCCCTGATTTGGCTAGAGTGTCTGGCCAGCAAACCCCAGAGACCCTCTTGTCTCTTCCTTTCCAGTACTGAGGTGTCTAACTTGAAAGACACACACACACACACACACACACACACACACACACACACACACACACACACAGAGAGAGAGAGAGAGAGAGAGAGAGAGAGAGAGAGACAGAGAGAGAGAGAGAGAGAGAGAGAGAGAATACGGGTGCTCAGATCCCAGTGCTTGTATAGAGAGTACTTTATCAATGAAGCCATCTCCCTTAGTGCCTATGAATGCATTTTTTAAGGCTTCTCTGGATGACTCCCAAGAAGAGTTAGGGTTGAAGTAGTTCTAGAGAGAACCTACAAATTTACTGAAAGGTAAAAAGTCTCCCTCCATGAGTCTTCACCTGCCAAATGACACATTCATATAGTGTTACCTTAAATTAGGTCTCATTTCTTATTTGCTTATATTGAAACGCTAACTTAAAGTACTTGAGGTCACTCACCATACCCCAGTGGCCTCAGCTTATTCTGAAGTTCCAAGCTGTATGTGGTTTTTGAGGTGGCCATGTTCAGATGCTGAAGTCGAACAGAGTGCAGCCAGTAGTGTCCAGCAAAGAAGTAGCTCAGCTCAGATCCCTGACAGGAGGGAACCTTCAGAGCCCAGGCATGATTATCAGACTCTTTGTGCTCTTAAAGGAGAGTAATTATAGGCATGTGAAAAAAGGGAAGCACTCCCCGAGGAACTCTTCCTCACATGCTTCCCAAGAGGCACCAGGGCCATTAAAAATTCCATGATGAAGAGGAAAAACAGCCTGGGAACAGCCAGGAGGCAATACAGCAAATTAATACAGCAGCCCTCCTCAGGGAAAGCTGTGATAAAACAGGAAACACTTCTCTCTTTGCAAAATAAAATTATACCACTAATGATAACACAGTCACCACACACGCGCACAAATCGTTCTAATGATGGGTGTAAAATTCCCAGTGCTGCCCAGATGCTTTGAACGGAATTTCTTCTTACTACAAATAAAATGGGACAAGAAAAAGATAAAATCTCCATTCGAAACACTTTGTAATGCTGTCATTCAGCTACCTCTTCTCCAGCACTCTGCTCCTTTATACCCTCTCCTTGATGCAAGGCTTTTGCTAAATGGTCCACTCTTTTTAAAAGACTGCATGGTTCCAAATCCCATCATACAAGTTCCCCAAACTAGAGTTAGACAGGTCCTGCTCCAATGACACCTAGATGCATGGAGACCCATCACTCTAACGGGTTGAGAACTATCCCTAAGAACTCAGTGTCTCTCACTCATATTTTTTTTGAAACTTGCACCAAGGACACCTACTCTGATCATTCCATAAAGCAGCACCTTTCATATCTTCCTGTGTCCTTCATTAAGTGAAAACTGCAAGGGAGCAGAAGATATTATACATACAACACACACAATGCACACACTTGTGGTATAGGCCAAATAGAGGTAAATAACTTAAAACAGAAAATTTTAAGGATAAGATAATGACTGTTAAACTCAAACTCCTCACCCCCAACTTCAAAGAACCTGCATACAGCCTACTAATGTGGGACTGCTACCTAAAGATAAGACAAAGACAACTAGTAATGGCCTCCATCCTCTCTCCTTTGCTTCTAGCAAGAGTTCAAAGCAATGGCAATACTCCCCTGACCTACACACACTAGAAACTGGCTGAGACTTCTTAATATTCCTAAGCCCCCACAAATGCCACCAGTCAAGAGAGCAGCAACAATGACAAAGTAACAAGATGCACAAAGTATCATGAATCCAGCTCTGGGTACTGGCTACAGGAGAGTCGGGGAGAGGCTTCTAATGGAAGAAGAGAGAAGTGCCAGTGCTAGCCCAGGTAGCAGACATGGAGGAAGGAGGGTGGAGTAATCCACTGTGTGTGCTGGATTTATGTGGTGCTGCTCATCTGGTCTTCCCAAAGAGCACACACAACTACTACAAATAGCATAAAAAACCCAGAGGTGTTCTTCATGGACTGAAATCTAGAAAACCCCCATGGGCCTGCATTAGGAACCTCATCTCTGTGTGTTACAGCTTTTGGGTGCAAGCTTTTATCATAGCTATCAGTTTCCATATCTGATTTTCTCATGAGAGCTTCAGTTCTAAACAAAAACAAAGGGAGTCAGCAAATGCTGAATGAATGAACGATAAACAGCATGATACTGGAATAAAGGCCTACAGTGAAGTTTGTATCAGCCCCGATTCCACATCTTTTTGGGTTTTTTTGTTTGTTTGTTTTTTTGAGACAGGGTTTCCCTGTGGCTTTGGAGACTGTCCTGAAACTAGCTCTTGTAGACCAGGCTGGTAGACCAGGCTGGTCTCAAACTCACAGAGATCCACCTGCCTCTGCCTCCTGAGTGCTGGGAATAAAGGTGTGCGCCACCACCATGCAGCACAATTCCACATCTTGGCAACATTATTTACAATGGTCTCATCTCTCAAAAGACTTTCCTTCTTAAAATACTACTTCCTCAGCAGAAAGACCTAGCAGCAGTTATGCAACAGGGCTCATTATCTTAACTCTTTGTGACTATGTCCAAAGAACAGCCACTTCTTTGTGCAGCTATAGCACAAGTCTATGAGCACATTTACTTACGAGCTGACTAATAAAAATACATCAAAAGCTGCGTGTAGTGTTAATTCCCCCCCTTTAATCCCACCACTTGTGAGGCAGAAGCAAGCAGATATGTGAGTTTGGGGCCAGCCTAGTCTACATAGTTCTAGGACAGTCAGAGCTACATAGTAAAAGTGAGAGCCTGTCTCAAAAAAACCCAAAACTAAAACAAACCATACAAACAAAAACCAAAAAGTATCAGAACCTTGGAAAAGAAATTCTTCAAGCTACCAAAACTAACAAGAGTTCTTTGATCCAGATTGTAAGTTGTTCTATGCACAATAACACTGCTAAGAAATGCTATCATCAAACCATACCCACTTGTGTGTCACCTGAATTAAGAGAATCATAAAGAGAAATGGGTCATATACATACAGAAGCCTAACAAGTGCCAGATGCACATGCTGAGATTTATCAGGGAATCAGACAAGGTCTCTGCACCCCAGAGAAAGACAATGGGGTAGGGGTGGAATTTTAAATAAACTAGTACACATATTCATTACAGACAATGGTAAGAACTATGGAGGAAACAGATGGTGCTTCAGATGACCCCTTAGTTATCTTAGGGGTACAAAGAGGTTTCCAGACAATGAGAATGAGAATAAAGGTCTGCCATTTTTAAAGAAGAAAATGGAGCTCACTGGTACTGTTAGATCTTTCCGCTCAGAGAAGGGACAGGACTGTATGAAAGGAAGCTGGCCATGTTTGCAGAAATCAGATTATGCAGGGCTTTGCAGGTCATGGCAAGGGACATTAATAATGTTCTTTGAACATGGGCTTTTAGCAGCAGAAATAATACAAAGTAGGAGCCAGAAGACACAGTCATATGATCACAGGAAAAATTCCTCCACTCTTAGGCTATTTCCACATCTGTGAAACAGCGACTTACCTCTAAAGGTTGTTGTAAGGATCCAATCAGATCCTGTACACATATACCACACAATCTCAAGTGTTAGGAAAGGAACACAGCACTTCCCAAAAGAACATAATCACCGCTGGGAGCCAATTACCTGGCAGAGCAGCGTGCAGGAGAACACCTTCGATGCGAAGCGTCAGCAAGAACATCCAGGGAGTAAAGAGGAGAGAGAGGATTAAACTGTGGGGATAAATCAGATTATTTTAGTATAGCTTAAATGAAAGAGACCTGATTCCAAAGAGCAGTCTATATGCTCTCTGTGACTATGTCCAACCCTACTGCCACAAACATCAATATCATTCAATAAAGTTGTGCATGTCTAACTTTATGTCCATAATGTCCCAGCACATAGCAAACAAAACTGTTCCTCGTCAAGCAGAACTTTCAGGCAATAATCACTTAAATAGCCAAACACAGTATTTCTTAATGGACAGTCTGGGAACCTATACTTAGTGATTACCCACTATATATCAGTCTTTTCCCAAGAGGACTAGCATGAAATTACCTTTTCAAGGACAACTGCACAGCACATCTTGGTACACTGCATAAGTGCAGTGTAAACAGAAGGTGCCTAGAGTTAGACGGCCTAACTGAATGCACCACAGAGCATAAGCCAGACTCCTCTCCAGGGTGTATCACTGGCCATCCTACTTGTCTTACAACAGGGTTACTGGCAGGGCTAACTCAAGTACTGCCTTTCAGGCCATAAAGTAATTTCAGTTTCTCACCTATTGGCCCTACAAGGTGACTAAGATGGTGAGAGTGCAATGCATTCTTAGCACAAACAACAGACCAACAGGAGCTGAGGATCAAACAGGGCACTGTGTACAGCGCCTCATTTATGTTTGCCAGGCCTCTTTGCACTCTCCCAATAAACAGTCCTTTGAAAAAAAGATAGGAACTTTATGAATTAAGACTGAAAGAACTTGAGTGGTAACTTCAAACATACTTAAAAAGAACAGAAACTTAGTACACACAGCTCTGCAACTTCAGGAAAATAGTTAAAACCCATGATGCATTGTTCCTACTTGAACATAACCGATGTAGAGTAAAGGATGGCTATAAATCCTGCCTTGGCCTGCTCTGAAGCAAATATGATCCACATTCTAGTTTAACAGTCCCCAAATCTCTCGCATGCCACCTTCATGACCCTTTCTTTATCTGCCAACAACATGCACTACTGTTCATCTAGAATTTTCTTTACACCAATTACTTACACTCAGCTTTGTCCTTTTTCTACAAGGTATGACATAGTAAGTACATTTTTCTAATGTAATAACTTCAAATATGTAAACTAGAATCATCTCATAAACACACACTGGTTTTATCTTCCACTGTTCTAGTTAATTGTGAAACAGCAACTTCCCAGTGAACTTTTCAAATATAAACTTGTGTAACATAATAAAATGCTAACCAGTCAACCAAGGAGCAAGCGAAGGCTGAGAAATTTTGCCCATCAGTCTCTATCAACTTCACAGCTCAGAACTAAGGTTAGGCAACCCTCATCTCTAAACTGAAAGAGTTTATAAACATAACAACAACCACTGTGAGTTACTTTTAAATCATGGATCCTCCTCAAAGTCAAAATGTATTAAGGTCTCCCTAAAGGGGAGCCAAGAAAAAAAATAAGAGAAAAAAGCTCCAAAGCCTTGATTACTTCCCCCAAAGGAGCTCAGCCTTCTGTGTCCTATGCTCAGACTGTCACAGCACAGAATTTAAACGGCAAACTAAACCAGAGACATGAGACTCACTTTACATTTTTAATCAAAGTTCAAAATCGAAACAATGGGTTCAATGGTTAAGAGCAAATACTGTTCTTCCAGGTGGCTCAAGTACAGTTCTCATCAGCACCCATGTCAGGCAGCTCCCAACTGTCTGTAACCCCAGCTCCAGCAGATCTGACACCCTCTGCAGGCACCTGAGCTCACATGCACATATGTACATGGACTGGTAAGTAAAAATAAACCTGGGGAGGTGGGGGGAGCTAAAATAAAACCAGGCTTCCCTTGAAATGTGTTATGAATAAGAAGCTGACAAGTGCAGTTGGACCCAAGGCTACAGTTCTTTCTTTTTTTTTTTTCAAGACAGTGTTTCTCTGTATTGTTTGGAGGCTGTCCTGTAACTCGATCTGTAGACCAGGCCGGCCTCGAACTCACAGAGATCCACCTGCCTCTGCCTTCCGAGTGCTGGGATTAAAGGCGTGTGCCACCAACATCCAGCTCTGGCTACAGTTCTTACAGAACTCAGCTCTCAAAAGAGTCAAGAATGATGGAACATGATCTTACTCACCTCATGTGCACAAGCAGAAATGTGAGGAGAATCAGAGGCCAATGCTTTATTCTTTCTAAAGGAAAGGAAACTGAATGATAAAAGATGACCCCCAAAATTATCTTACCTGCTTTCGTTCTCTTTTCCCAGCTGATGGTAAGCAGAAACTAAAGAGAGAGAATAACAGGAAAGAAAACGATAAAGAAGTGACAGGAAAAGTAAGAGGGAAGAAGATCCCGGGTGGGATCTGAGGTGAAGAAGGACCCGGGAGAGATGCAGCTGAAGGAGCAGGACACTAGCTGTGTGTGGACAGCAGTCTCCCTGCGGTAACTCCAGCGGAGAAGGCAACAATGGACAGCAGACAACTGGACAAGGAAGAGCCAACTAAGACACAGCTGTGCAGTGAGAATAGGACTCAAACTCCAAAACCAGATGAGGTTTGTGTATAGGACTGCCCTTGGGTACTGACCATAATGATTAAGGAATAAATTATACAATTTCTTTAGCATATACAAATGTGGGCTGCTTTTTATTTTAACATATGTAGTTGTACACAATATGTATGCATGTGTGTGTGAATGAAGGAATGTAAGGTCACAGGTACACTTGTGTGTGGAGGTCAGAGGTCAATGGCTCATGTCTTTGGGGCTCACTCTCCGCTTCATTTATTGAGGCAAGGTCTCTCACTGAACCTAGAGCTCCCTGCTGGCCAGCTTGCCCTGGGATCTACTTGGCAAGTGCTGATATTACAGGCAGGCCTGCCATACCACCTGCTTCTTTATGTGGGTGCTGGGCATCCAAACTCAGTCCTTTTGCATGATCCACCGAACCATCTCCCCAGCCCCAAAACGTATGTATTTATTCAGCAGCTATTCAAATTTTAGCCAAGGAAGACCCACAGGAAAGCAAAGCACACAACAAAGCCAACCGTCTACGAGATGAAGCTGTTATGAGAAAGGCAGCTACATTCATGCTTCCTACTGCATTCACCATGGTAACAAGGACAAAAAGAATTCTCCTTAAAAAGTCCTGAAGGAGAACAGAAGCATTTAGAATGACCATTTAAAAAAAATTAAGAGAGAAAAATGCATTTAAAATATAGTCTCTTAGTGGTGGAGACTAATATAACACCTAGAAACATAACAAGCAACAAAATAAAAACTACTCTAGAAAGGAAAAAAAAAATCACTGTCATGATTGAAGACTTTAGCCTTCTTAAATTTTACTTTTTATTATTATGTATGCCATAGCATACTTGTGAGGGTCAGAGGACAACTCTATGGAGTTGGTTCTTTCCTTCTGGCTCTGGGATTAAACTCTGGTCATCAAACATGCAATAACAGGTGGCAAGCACTTTTAGCCACAAGCCATCTTGCCAGCCTGACTTTACCCATCCTAACTGTCAGCAAGCACCAGTCTCTAAAAATCCCTCTTTTGGCTCTCAAGTCTAATAGAAAGGTTGCTTTATAAAAGCCCTCTCTACCTCCTTCCCCAAGGACCAGGCTAGGATAGCAGGAGGCACTCAAGCACTTACTCTTTCTGCCGGTGGTCACTGATGATATGGCTTATCCTTTCGGGTCCTAGACTGCTTATGCTGGTCTCCTAAAAGGATAAGAAAAAGAGTGTCAGCAAACCACAGAAGCAAATATATACAATTTAAGCTGTTATCAAGCTCAATTTTTCTCTAACTATGCCAGCCAATCAATCTTAGAGGTTGTACCAATCTTAAAATCCAACAGCAACTTTTTTTAAAAATGTGAGTCCATCTTAGAAGTATCATCTATTACCTAGCTATTTTCTGCTAACTGAAAAGGCTTTTAAAAAGCCATTAATGTTTGTTGGACTTGGGATATTTTTTCTATTTTAAATATAGTTTTGAATAAGTATGTGTACAGGTACACACACATGAGCACTCATAAGTGTGTGCATGAGTGGAAGCCAGAAGACTATCTCAGGTGTCATTCTTCAGGCACTGTCTACATTATTTTGAGACAGAGTCTCTCCTGGCCTGAGCTTACCAAGCAGGCTCGGCTGTCTGTTCAGTGAGCCTCGGCTATCTTCCTGCACCCTCCTCCTCCCCCAGTGCTGGAATTAGAAGCATGCCACTGCACCTGAGGTTTTCTCCCATTGGTTCTAGGGAACAAACTCAAGCCCTCCACAAGCACTTTACCAGCTTGAGCTTTCTCTCCAGCCCTGTTTATTTTTTAATTAACACATAAGTGAAATACAAAACTAATATCAAATAATGTTTCAACATGTGTATAGTTGTTAGTTGTTTAGATGTAGAGTACAAAGAAGCAGAAAAACTTTTGGAAGATGTGACACTTTTTTTTTTTTTTGAGACATGATTTCACTGTGTAGCTAATGCTGGCCTCAAACTCCAGCTTCCCAAGAATTGAGAGATTGGAGGTGTACGTCTATGGTGACAGGAGCCAGTTTTCAGCAGAAGAGCACACTCCATGAACTATCTGACTGAGGCTCAACAAGTGTGACAAACACCGAATATCTGCTGACTACATGCCTGTGCATTAAAGAACTTGTGCTACTTACACAACTAAGCAGTCCATATAGTTCAGTGGTAGAGCACTTGCCTGGCATGCACAAGGCCCTGAGACCACAAAGCACCACAACAGTCACAAAGCACAAAGATTATCACTGTGTTCTGTTCTTTCAACATTATTCCAAAGTAAAAGCAGAAGGCTGTATGAACTGATTCTTAGGCTCTCAGGACTGCAGTGTGGAGGCATACACGACACCACAGCAAACCAGTCACCTCCACTGGAGAGTGGCAAAAGGCACTCACCCTCCCCTAATGAGCACACTTACAATGATAGCTGTCACAGCAACCTGCAGAGACAAGAGTCACACACAAGAGGAAGTGCTAAGGAGAGAGGGTACGAGTCACAGGCAGGAATGTCAGTGCTCCTCAAACACATCTGTATCTTGGCATTTGTACTCAACTATGTGTGAGTTAGCCTGAAGAATAGGAAGCACACTTTAACAGAACCACCAGCTTTAGAAAAATTTGAGGTCAGATTCCAAACAGGGGTGGAGCTAAGTGGAGGGATCGCACATTGCATTCTTCATATTTTTCATCCCTCTGGCTGTGCCTCTAGATCAGAGATACAGAATGTAGAGAGGCCAAGGGAAAATATGGGTTAATAATGAGCTATTTGTTACAGTAGAAAAATTATTAACTTAAAATGCCATAATATTTAAATTTACAGTTTATTACTGTGTAAATTACAAGCAGTACTTTGCGTAATTAGCAGCTCGCTGGCAGGGAGCTGTGAATGAAACTCATTATTTATGATTGCAGTTTAGAAAGAGAAGAGAAGGATGAGGAGAGGAGCAGGGAGAGCAGAGCTGTGACCTCTGCTAGAAATGACAGATCTCCCTTTAAGGTGATGAGGATGAATTTAGACGTACATCTCACCCTATTTGCTTGAGATCATTAGCTGCATGTCCAATAAAGCCTAGATTCCTCTCAAGAACACTGAAGAGCGCCTTCAAGATGAACTAACTCATGTCCATGGAAGCAGATAGCTCTTTGTTGAGCTTAAAGAAAGGCAGCAGATGGGGGGGAGATCATTACTCTACCTAATCAACAGAAGGGGAGTAAAACCTCAGTCCTTTATCCTCAAACTTCTGCCTTCCTTAACCCCACCCACACCGAAGGGCTCCCTGTCAAGGAGTGAGCTCCTAAAACCCACAAGGATGTTCAGGTCCATGGTCTGTAAATGGAGTAAGCCAAAAGGAACACAGCGTGATTCTTCCAATGATCAAATGCCTCTCCAGTTAAAGAGTGGAATTGGAATTTAAAGAAAAAAGAATCTGGCTGGAGAAATAGCTAAGTAGGTAAAGGCACTTGCTGCCAAGTCTGATGACCTGAGTTCAATCCCAGGATCCACATAATTGAATGAGAGAAGTGACTCCTGCAAATTGTCTTCTGAGGTAAACACACACAAATTAATTAACCATACCTCTTATTTGTTTTTTCTTTCTTTTCCCCCCCAATGCTCCAAACTTTAGAAAATAGCTCTCTGGGTAGACTACAATACAAAGCAGCAGCCAGATGAATGTGACCAGCAACCACACACATGGCTTGGCAAACATGGTAGCAGGCATTCTAAATGCTTGACAAACTCTTCCTCACTGCCATCTTCCCTGTCTGGCTAGGGAACCTTTGCCTTAGCCTATTCCTCAATCTCAAAGCTAGAATACAATTTAAATAAGAGCTAGGCACATGCCTATAATCCTAGGATTCAGGAAGTTAAACAGAAAAATTTCAAGTTGAAAGACAGTCTAGGACACAAAGCAAGTACCAGGCCAGTTTGGATTTCACAGAGGCCCTGTCTCCAAAAGGTAAAAAACAAAAATAAATTTAGTTTTAAAAGAATAAAGTTACCCTAGGTTCAAGTCTCCATTCTGCTACTTGGATGGAGGGAATGCCACACATTTCTTACTTCTTTGAATCTAAGTTCTCCCTGTGGGCTAAAGTAACAGTTGGAGGAATCAATGGCCCAGTGCCCAGCACAGGCCCTGGCAAGAAGCAGGTGTCCCTAGAGGCCAGGGAAGAGCTCCTGAACTACTGTGAAGCAGGCTTAGTGATATTTTATGTGTGGGGGAGAAAGCATTGTTCATTTGGTTCTGTTTGCTGTTGTTTAGCTTTCTCCTTTTTAAATCAATCCTAGGATAAAAACACATTCCTGAATTCAGGAGTTATAAAGAAGCCAAAACAGACTTTAAACTTATATAATAATACAGGGTTAGTTACAAATGCAGAAGAGAGAGATCAAACCAGTGGTCCATATGCAATAGAGACTGCAGTGCGTACTTGATCAGAACTTCTATGTGGATAAATTGTTTATCTTTCACATTTGTATCCATTTAAATCCCACATAATGTTCATTCACCCTTAACTCCCAGAATATCTCAGTTGGTTTCATTAACTCCAGAGAGTCCTGTGATGCCTTCAATTGTCAGTAGGGCACGCAAATCCCATGGGGACTACCACCTTCCCACAGCACCGGAGAAACCATGACATCTGTCACCTTCCCAGCCAGCCTTCTCCGCCCCTTCCTGAGGCACCGAGCTGCAGCTCCTGGCAACCGATTCAGACGAGCGTGGTATCCTGTGGAAAGAAGAAGGCCTCAGTTACTGAACATACAAGATCCATAAACGCCGGATAGTGGTGGTGCACGTCTTTAATCCCAGCATTCGGGAGGCAGAGGGAGGTGGATCTCTGTGAGTTCAAGGTCATCCTGGTCTATAAGAGCTAGTTGCTACTTCCAGGACAGCCTCCAAAGCCACAGAGAAACCCTGTCTCAAAAAACCAAAAAAAAAAAAAAAAAAAAAAAAACGAAACAAAGAAAGATCCATAAGCACAGATGTCCTAGCACAATGGAGCCCTTACTCCAACATCTTCACAAGGCTATCTGCGAAAGACTTACTGTGCCCATGCCTCTGTCCCGAGTAGTATGATCACAGGCATGCCACTCTGAGCACCAAACATCAACAATATCAGAAAATGGGCTAAATGGCATCTGTTCATTGTCACACATCTTAGGCAATGGCCCTGACATTCCAAAAAGTGAAATAACCTGGTCACAATATGGAGCTAACTAAAAGAGAAGTGTCACCACATTTCTATCTCCTGTTAAGGGCCTTTCCACCCCATTCTGCTCCTTTAGAACTGAAATAAAGCAAAGGAACAGATATGCATTTGTGTCAAAGTACACAATAATAAGATGATTAAAACAAATACATTTAAAGAAGTCTTTTAAAACCATCCACTTAAATATGCCCTAATTTCTTGTATGTGAATGTTCTTCAAAAGAGCCAATCTTTCAAGCTCCCAAGAAGCATTCAGGAAATATTGCATCAACTTTGCAACAGAGTATGTCACTGTGATGTGACTGATGCCAGGCTTCCTAAATGTGTCCTATGAGCCTACATGGATTGACTTAGGAATGGGAAAGCCCTGAGCTTTGTGACTCACTTCTGAATCCTTTAGAATACTGAGCTAACTCCACAGTTCAGAGAGCAATGCATGGTCAGAGGCACGTGAGTGATTGACTAGGGCACACTGAGTCTTCCCAAAGAGAACTATAATGTCATGACCTTGGCTTTGGTCTTCTCCAAACTCACCTCTTTGAGCTGGCCGGGAAGGTAAAAGGAATGTGGGATCTGACAGCTTTTCCAGTCCGGAGTCCATCCTTTCTGCTTCAGTGCAGTGATCAGGAGCCCACTTGGGCAGCAGGTTATGGACAGTGAATCCGGGGACACATTCTCCTTCATAAAACCAATCACTTTGCTCATCATCCCCTAAAGCAAACAGATCATGTCCTGAGTTTCATGTTAAAACCCAAATGCCGGGAGGATTTCTCAATGCTATAGTTATGATACTGTCAAAAAAATCAAAGTACAAAAGAACCTGTGCAGTTCCTCTTGGTACACTAAGATGAAAGCTAAGGTATCAACATAGATCCACATGAATGCTAGACTGTTTTTCACCACTTCAATAGTAAAGTCTAAGATCTAGGCTTACAGTCCTCCAGAATTCACATAGAAAACCTGAAAATACGTTATCTCTTCCAAAACACACAATAGCTCCAACTTACAGTGAGGCAACGAATGCCCAGAAGTCAGGGTTAGGCTAGTAAATGAAGTCAGAATTGCACCCCATAACCTGACAAAGCCCAAGTGTTTCCCATAAAAACCAAACTGCCTTCCTTAACATTATCCACTGTGAAGATAAATAGAGTTCAAAGTAATAAATAAATGCTCCTCAATTCAAAAATTAGCTTTTACAACTGGGGGATTTTTACATATTTACATTTTATCATAATACTTTGTTTTGGTTGGTATTTCATTGATGGGGCAGAAAATCTAAACTAGAAATCCAAGCTACCAGGAAAAAAATAATCACAGAAACAAGCAATAAAACTCCCTAAGACTTTTCAAGGACATTTGCCCAAGGCCACATTGTTCATTAATGGTTAAGGTCTCAACTAACCCATACATCCAACCTCTTGGTTTGAACTTTCAATCAGCTACCATACAACAGTTCAGTTGCTACTACTAGAGTGTATTCCTGCCAACAAAACAGGTAAGAAAAAGGCACCAAACTGCAAGAATAAAATAAACTATTATGACAGCATCTAAAGTTCATGAGACCTTCATCCCCCAACTATATATGCCAGGTCCCACAAGCCAAACACATGAAGCCACTACCACACAGGATAATGACTCTTAAAATTAATGTTGGAATCTCCAAGGAGGACAATGAAGCCTGCATTCTGCAAATAATAGCTATTACCACTAAGCACCAAAGAAGATGTTCTTTGGTATATATTGGTGTCTCACTACAAACAAACACTGCAAACAGTTGTCTTGAAAACAGAGTTTCTCATACTTCAGCAAGCATCTGATGCACTTGAGGGCGTGTCAAAACCAGGATGTGGGGAAAGGAAGACACATGTCAGGTGACAAACAGATTGCTGGGCCTTAGATACCAAAGATTCTGATTTGAACCAAACACTAGCAAGTTCTCTCATGAAGCTGAGCAGGTCTGGGGAGCACAATCAGAGAGCACCACTGTGCATGTGCCTCGACAGCCAGTGTACAGATGGACTCAGGCAGGCACTGGTAAACTCAGCCAGTTTCTATGCACTGTGACATGCTCGTTCCATTTTCATCCAGAGCCTTTCTCAGAACATGCACTGCACCAGGTAAACTCACCAGATCATGTTTTCTGACAACAACTTAATGCAGAATGAGAACTTTGGTTCTTACAATTCACTCATGATCCAATAACAAAAATTTTTAAAAAGGACTTGTAGTCAGGCATGGTGCCACAGTGCTCAGGAGGCAAAAGCAGGATGATCTTTGTGAGTTTGAGGACAGCCGAGTCTACACAATGAGTTCCAGGGCATCGAGGACTATGCAGAGAGACCCTGCCTCAAAACCAAAATAATAAACAAACAAATAAGAAGAAAAGGACTGGCTGAGGTAGCAGAGACTATGAGACCGCCAGATAAAATCCTGCCAGTTTGCTTTGCCATCCTCTCCTAGAGACAGCCTTGGCAGTCTGATCCCCAGTAAACCTTTTTCCCATGCACAGAATAGTCTAGTTTGGGGGCTTACTGCACCCTCACTTACACTTACCAGGGTTTATCAACTCAATAGGGGCTCTTGTATTCCAAGCAATGTTAAGGAGCCATGGTTATAAATAATTCCAAGGGCTAGAGAGATGGCTTGGTGTCAGGATCACTCAGTGTTCTCACAGAGTACCTGGGTTTGGTTCCAAGCACCTACATGGCAGCTCACAGCTGTCTATAATCCTAGCTCCAGGGGATATGATTTCTTTTCTGATCTCTTCAGGTTCATGTGCCCTCTTGGTGCACATACATACAATCAGGCACACACATACACAAAAAAGAAAATAAATGGATATTTAAAAATAGTAAATTTCTAGCTGTGGAATGCTTCAATGGAAAGCACATAACACAAAAGGTGATTTTTAAAAGCAGAGGTTGGAGAGATGGCTTAGAAATTAGGAGCCCTTGTTGCTCTTACAGAGGACCTGGGGTCACCCACATAGGGACTTGTGATCAATCATCCACAACTCCAGTTCCAAGGATCCAATGCCTTCTTCTGACCTATGAGGGTACCAGGCATATACATGGTACACATTACATACATGCAGGCAAAAACACTCATACACATTAATTTTAAAATCATCTAAAAACAAACAAAATCAAAAGGCAGCAGGTACAAGGAACAAAAACAAAAGGCAACAGGCCCGCATGCACACACACAGGGTTCCTTCAGGGAAAAAAAAATGCACATTTAAGTGGGATACTTGGTGACTTTTTAAGATACTTACTAAACATTCACCCAGGACATTACAGGGTTTATTCACATGACTGTCATAATAACAGGCATTTAAACTTAAATAGGTAAAAGTTATCCCTCAGTAAAAGTAAAAACATATCAACCCTCCCCAAAAGAATTATGTATGAGACTATTACTGGTTATAATTAAAAGAAACTTTCACAAGCTCCAGCCTTGACGCTCTGACCCCATGGACCAATGATTCTCAAGCCATAAGCTACTATATAAGAACTATGTAAGAACTACTATATAAGAACTTTGGGGGCTTGTAAAAACTACAGATTCCAGGGACCAACTCCCAATCTATTTGATTTCCAGCAGCTCAGAAAATCTGGTATTTTCACAATTCCCCAAGTGGCTCTCATGTGCCTACAATAAGTCACTCCAGTCACTGGGATCAACGACAAAGTCCCAAAGCTGGAATCATGATGACTTTGCCAGTGAGCTGGAGGAAAGGCCCAGCAGTTAAGAGTGTGCACTGCTCTTCCAAAGGATCAGAATTTGGTTTACAGCACCCATTTCAGACAGCCCACAAAGCCTGCTTACCTCCAGCTCCAAGGGGATCTGACGTCCTCTTCTGGGTTCCATAGGTAGCTGCACTCACATGCACATACCCACCCTCAGACAGACACACATGTATACACATAACTTGAAACTTAAAAAATAAGAGTCTTAAAAAAAACTTGTAAATGTTTAAGAAGATCACCTTGCCGTCCTTCATCATTGGTGAAGAGCCCTGTGTCACTGCTGCTGCAAACACTGCTAGTTTCGCTGGAAAAAAATATAAGAGAACTCAGCAACTCCGATCAGAAATCATTTTCAAATGAAACATCTCAATCACCTAACTTCACTTCAGCCAATCTGGTGTATAAATGTCCCACAGAAGACATGGGTAAAATTTATTCATCCTCCCCTCAAAGGGTAAGAGAAGAATGCTAAAACTCTTAGATATTACACTAGTTTCAAAATACTTAAAGTCACTGTCATAAAAGGCCATAGGAAGCAGCAACCAACAACTTATTCTCCTTTTTCTTTCCCCTTTTGGTATGACCTATGAGGACTCTGTGGGCTGTCCATTTCTTGTTACAACAGCTTACTTTTGCAGATGAGCGCAGAAGCCCCCAAATGGTTTCTACAGTTTTAAGTGGCTGGAAGGAAAACTCCAAAAATGAGTACTTTCTGACATGTAGAAATCACATAAAATTCCAAGTTTAGTGTACATAAATAAAGTTTTATTGGAACACAGCCATGCTCATTCATTTATATACCACCAGCAAAGGTAAGCAGTTACAACAGAGAATAGACAGCCTACGGAGTCCTCAGAACTGGCTATGTGGTTCATTACAGAGAAAGTATTATAAGTTCTACTCTGTGTTCCCATTGTCTTAATGTTAAAAAATTAAAAGAGGTGTTTTATCATAAAGTCTATAAATATAAAGCCTCTTTCCATTAATTTAAAGGCACCAGCAACATTACAACATACAACACCCCTATCATTATCTTTATATGGAATCTATTCTCTCCTTATATTCTAAATTAAAAGGGCAAGCTCAAAAAATATCTGCTGATCAAAAAAGATGATAAACATTTTTTCCTAATGTGTCAACAGCATTTCAAGAAAATATTCTTGAAAGAACTTGGACTGAACTTATACAAGAGTCTCCTACATGGAGTTTGTCATGACAACGATGTCATGAAACCATCATTATAACCAACATCATGTCTATAGAATACTTATTCCATAAAAGTGTCATTATTCTACCGATGTGGAAATTAGTGTATTATCTAATGGCATTTTCTAATACTGTGTATCCCCTCAGAGTAATCTGCACTGTGTTAAGTACATGTCTAAAAACATGGTTAGCCAGGTGGTGGTGGCATGCGTCTTTAATCCCAGCACTTGGGTTGCAGAGGCAGGTGAATCTCAGTGAATTCGAAGTAGTTCAGGCTACACAGAAAAACCCTGTCTCAAAAAACCAATTGGAAGCACAAGAAATTCATTAGTACAATTTGCTAAGAAGGAAACAAAGAGGGAGCTGCACAGCCTGCTTGCACAGAAGAACTAAGAAGCAAGTTTAAGAATGAAGTCTTTGCTAGAAAGGCAAATATGTCCCTTTCTGAACCAGGACCAAAGGTGCCCAGTCCTACAGCCCTCCTCACTCATCTATTTCTTGCTCAGAGATTATGATTCTTAAAAATACATTGATTTTATTTTATGTGTGTGTTTTGCCTGCATGTATGTGCCTGGCACCCTCAGAGATCATAAGAGGATATCAGGTTCTCTAGAACTGCGGCTATGGATGGGTGTAAGTCACCGTGTGGGTGCTGGGAACTAAAACCTAATCCTCTTGGAAGAGAAACAAAGTGCTATTAACTGTTGAGTCATCTCCCCAGTCCTGAGATTATGATTTGTAACAAATCAAGCTTATAAGATTTCTGAATAGGGGCTGGAGAGATGGCTCAGCGGTTAAGAGCAGTGACTGTTCTTCCAGAGGTCCTGAGTTCAATTCCCGGCAACCACATAGTGGCTCACAACCACCTTGAATGAGATCTGGTGCCCTCCACTGGCATGCAGGCAGAAGACTGTATACATAATAAATAAATAAATAATATATATGTATATATGTATATGTATATATATATAAAAAGATTTCTGAATAATTTTATCAACTATAATATTCTATTGGAAACTAACTCCTAAGAAGCTAGAGATGTAGCTCAATGGGGAGAATGCTTGCCTAGCTTATGTGAAACCCTGGGTTCAATCCCCAGCCCTGCATAGACCAGGTACAGGGATGTACACACACAATTTCAGCACTTGGAAGTACAGGTAGGAACATCAGAAATTCAAAGTCATCCTCCTAGATAGTTGAGTTCAAGGCAAGTCTGTATACAAGACACCCTGTCTGAAACAAACAAGAAAACAATTAGAAACAAGAGGTGAGGGAAGGAGCAGATAGGCAGATAGACGGACAGACTGGCTGGCTGGCAGCTTTTGTTTCATTTTATTTTCTGAGACAGGGTATCTCTACACAGCCCTGGCTGTCCTGAACTCGCTCTGTAGAGCAGGCTGTCCTGGAACTCACAGAGATCTGCCTGCCTATGCCTCCCAAGTGCTGGGATAAAGGTGCGCACCACCATACCGGGCTAAAGCTGATACCTTTCATTAATAACAATGTTCTTTTAGCACCTGTGTAGACAAGCTCAAGAATACACCATGTCAGGCTCCTCTGAATTTCTTCCTACTCCTAAGCCTTTCACATGTTTTTCTACCTTTGTTAGGAACCTCTTACTGAACAAGGGAAAAAAACTCTTCCTCCTTTGTGCTCAGAAGAAAATGGATCAATGAGTTGGGCGTGGGTGGCACATGCTTTTAATCCCAGCACTTGGAAGGCAGAGGCCAGCCTGGTCTACAGAGCGAGTTCCAGGACAGCCTCCAAAACAATACAGAGAAACCCTGTCTCAAAAAACAAAACAAACAAAAAAAATGTGGATCCAGCTCTGTAGCATCCATTCTGAGTGTGGCCCCTGAAGCTCAACAGGAACACAGAACCTAGTCTCTGAATCTTCAGATAAAAAGGAAAATGAGCCTACAAAGAGCAGATAATGCAGCGCCAACCTCTTAAAGTGACAGCAGCGAGTAACCTCTGTGCCTCCTGTTTTTGGCTCAGGAGTTTTACTATCTGGCCCATTCTCACGGGCTTATGAGATCCAAACCTACCAACAGTGCACATATAAACTCAGAAAAGTGAAAAGACCCTCTCTCCATTAGCCCAGAGCTTCAGAGTTATATATTTACCAGACACTGCTGGTACTGGCACCAAGACCAGCAAGAATCTTCTCAAGGGCAATTTAAATGATGCACTTGATATCTCAGGGTCAAGATAACTGGGGAGGAATATGAAGAATTAGGAATGCTTTCCAAAGGCAAATGTCTTTCAATTAATAAGGGATAGTACATGTCTGGAGCTTAACATTACGATAGGGAAATAATTCCCTTTCAATAGCTGGAAAGTGTCAAGAAGATTCACAGGAGGGTAGAAAAAAAAATTAGCAGAGGTCTGAGAACAACTTGGAGAATGTGAGTTATCCGATTCACTTACTTATTTTTATATGTGTGTGTAAACTTATGTGGTGGAGTTGGTTCTTGTCTTCCACCATGGGGGTCCCAGAGTGACTAACCTCAAGTCACTGGCAGCAAGGACCCCTACCCACTTAATCATCTCACTGGCCCTATGGGTTTCCTCCTTTCACCACATGTGATCCAGGGATCCAAGGAACCAGGCTTAGCAGCAAGCACCTTCACCCACCGAGCCATCTAACTGATCTCAGACTTCTCTACAATGCTTTCCACTTAAAAAATGTTTCCATATTTCATTGAGCAGCATGATCACCATTTTAAATGAGACACAAAATTAGAGCCTGGATTTTGGACCACCAACTGTATTATCTAATTACTACAGCATTATTGGAAAAGCAACTGAAGCACATCCAAACGAAATAACAGAAGTGTAAAGGAAGCCACCTTAGCTGGCACCTCTAAAGATTGATCCTCCCACCAACATTCTATTAGAATTAAAAGAAGGTGATTGGCACACACACATCACTTACACTCTGCAAGTAGTGCTTTGCTTTATCACACAGCCATCCAGCCCACACATCTAGCCTTCCCACCAGAGCATCTTTGTAATTAGAGGCTCTCTCAGTGGAGCAGATGATTAGGCACAGTATCCACATAAGCATGAATCACAGCAATGAACCCAATAAACTGACCCTCGTACCTCGTCTACTGCAACCACCTCAGTCAATCACTTACCAGCCCCTCAGTAGTGACTCAACTGCTTTTGTCTCTAAGACGTTCTTTCCAAGTTCAGAAAATGAATTGTATGTACTTTTAGCATACTAAAGTATTGAATTTCAAATGAGCACAAGGCCTCAGTTTTAAAACTATGGTATCTTTAGTCTAAAGGAAGAATCAATTGTTTGGTTTTATTTCATTTTCTCAATTTGAAATTCATGCCTATTATAGAAAGCTGAGCCAATGAAGTGAGAACCCAATCTCAGCAGAGAAACACCTTCAGCAGTCATCCTCAACTAGAGGCCATTTTGCATCCCTCTCAGGGTCATTTACCAATGCCTTCAATCTCCTCCCTCCTGTACTGGGGATTGAAGCCTGGGCCTCAGCATTGACTGTACATACACCATCACAGCCATTGGAAGCATTTTTCATAATTATGGCATACAGGGTGAAGAGAGAGACAGAAGTAACTGAAAACCAGTGTCAGTGAGAGACCAAAGGACTAAGGTGGACAGTGATAGAGCATGGCACCCATGTCCTCCTCTGGCCTGCACCCAGGTATACATATCTGAGTGCATACATTCATAACACACACACACACACACACACACACACACAAAGAGCACTGAACTACAAAGTTACCATGCAGGTTTGTTGTCCCCATTTATTAGCCAAGAAGCTTAAGTTACCTCTTACATACAATTTTTATACATTTAAAACTAAACAGAAATTTATGGCAATTATGATAATTTCAAAAATAAGAGCATTTAGGCTAATTTTTCAAACTAAATAATAATAAAACTTTAAAAATATTTTGGAATCCAGGAGAAGAAAAGGAACTGTCACTTCTACATGCACTGACCAAAGATACTCCTGCTCTTCCTATCTATTTTCTGTCACGCTTCTGGGTAGAGGTAGAGGTTCTGCAACTGCATGTCATCATGAACCTGGACTCCCACACAATGGAACATAA